CATACAGTTCACCAAAACTATGTGGAGACAAAATAAATGAGGCAAAATATTAACATTCCAGTAAGCAGTGTTCAGTGTACTATTTTTCTTCATTTGTAAAGGTTTGAACATTTTCTAATTAAAAAGATTGTGGGGATAAAAGTTCAGATGGAAATTAGGAGGGGGAAAACTGTAGAATAAGTGAATTTATGGAGAGTGGCAACCAAATGCAACATGTGGCTCTTGTTTTGCTCCTGATTCAAACAAAGCAGCTGTAGGTAAATGTTAGTGAGAAGACCAGGGAGATGTGGCACTGAGGGAGATGTGACCAGATAAAATGTGAAGTAGATGGAACAAGATTGGCCGCATGATAACTGCAGAAGCTCAATCATGATACATGGCCTGTCCTGTGCTGTTCACCATTTTGCCTGTTTGAAAAGTTCCATAGTAAAATGTTAGTGATAACAAGTTAAGGTACATAGCAATGCTGAACCTTCTCAATGAGCAAAGGACTTGACAGAACAGATATCTAAATATCTCTATGGTTCTTGACTATTAACGAGTTACGTAAGAATGTTAAGTTGTGAAATCTCGATTGGTGCCTGAGTTTCTCATAGTAGTGATTTTAAATGAATGTGGGGGGATGTGGGGGAGGTGAAGGCCATGTGGAAGTAATTCTCTTTCTATTTTTTCCCTTTTATTTTCATTCTCTCAATTTGCCTAATGCATGAGGCTCCTGACCACCATAAAGCAAGCTAGCGCTGGGGCTTTATCCTCATCTTCTGAAGCTGATGGAATGGTATTTATTGCTTCCACTTAAGTTTAAGAATCTCGAAATTGTCTATTTAATCACGTCTGCATTTAGCTAGTGGGGTTTTTATTGTCCTGCATTTTCAAGATGCTACTAAGGCTATTGGTGAAGATAAAAAAAAGTTTTTTAAGGGATGGTCATTCAGGAACATCACACAGATCAAAAACTGAAAAAACAAATCAACAAAGAGGCACAAAGGTGAAAAGCAATCATAGTCTTGCCTGTTTGTTAGCAGGACTCTGGATCCCACAGTCAGACATGTCTTAGGAAATGTGAGATGCTGATCTTGCCTACAGTGGTCCTGAACAAGTTAACTCTTACTCAAAGTAAAATTCTGCAATCAAAAAGAGCATCAGTTTTCTGTTTTGTTTTTGTTTTCGAGAAATGAATAGGAGTCAAAACAAAATGTGAGCCAGGCACCGGTGGCTCACATCTATAATCCTAGCTACTCAGAAGACAGAGATCAGGAGGATTGCAGTTCAAAGCCAGCCTGGGCAAATAGTTTGCAAGACTCTATCTCGAAAAAAACCCATCACAAAAAAGGGCTGGTGGAGTGGCTGAAGGTGTAGGCCCTGAGTTCAAACTCTGGTACCACAAAAAAAAAAAAAGTGAATTGGACACCCTTGCCTTAAAATCTTTTTAAAGAAAACATTAGGCAGTATACACTTCTTGTAAATAGTAAAAACCATGAAGAGGAAAATAGGACTAGATAAGGATATGTATATGAAAAGAAAAAATTCAACTGTGAACATGTGATAAACTTACTAGGAAAGCAAATGGTTTAGAAGGGGTATCAAACCTCCAACCAGAGAGAAAAATAAATCTTGGAACCCTTTTTCATAGTTGCTTAGTGCATGTAAGATAAGGGAAATAAATTATACACTGTTATTTCCTCTCTGAACATAGCTTTCATTAGACTAAATAATACTGATGAAAATAATTTAAAAACCTTACAGTGCTCACAAATGTAAAATATACATACTTAAAAAAACAATAAAATACATATATGAAAATGCATCTAGTGCTACCTTCAGATTTTTTTCAAGGTATCTTTATAATCAGTGTATTAGAGGTTAAGGTTTGGAGTTTTGATTTGGCCTTCTCAGTCTGAGTAGCTTTGAAGTCAAACAGGCATTTATTATGGAAACTATATTGGTTTCAACCAGTCCTCTTTCTACTTCTTCCTTCTTTCATATCACTTTTTATATTCGTGGTTGATTTAAAGCTGCCACATTTTCTTTGCTCCCCATTCCATCAAGAAGTGGAAGCTATTTTTCTGCTCCTTCAATGCAGGCCGGCAAAGTGACTTGCTTTGGCCATCAGCACGTGATGGAAACCTAGCAGGTCCGCTCATGCCCACTTGCAATACTATGGTCTGCGAATGGGCCTGCAGAAGCCAGGTGGTGCGAGAGCCAGTGCCAGCCAGCCCAGCAGAGGCATGGACCAGGCCTGCCTAGGCCCTTCTGCCTCCTCCTATTGTCAGACACCTGCAGTTGCATGGGTGACTCCAGACAAGACCAGCTCGACTGCCCAGCCCAAATTATTGACCCCAAAATGCGTTCATTTCCTCTTCCACTACATGAGGATAATAATGAAAATTACTTTTATCATTTGTTTTTAACTTTAAATACTCAACATTTCTTTGATAATCTTTACTCCTCTGACAAATTCCTATGGTTTGTGGACCTTACATTTACCTGATCATTCTCCCCTGGACTTCTTCCAGCTTGCCAAATTTCTCTTTCAATTTGTGTCGCTCAGAATTGAAACCAGAGTTTCACAGATAATTTGCCACTTTTAACCCTTAGTGCCTCTGTTTTTTATTTTTTTCCCTGAAGTCATTCAGGTTTTTTGTTTGTTTTGTCTTTTAACAGTGCTGGGGATTTAACCCAGGATCTTGGGAATACTAGGCACAGGATCTACCACTGAGCAATATGCCCAGTCCTTTACTTTTCAGCCCTAAAGCATTCCTTAACCTCTCCCACAGAGGCAAAACTTTCTCCATCTCTCAAGTCCAAGTCAAATGTGTCCTTTGCAATGCTTTCCTTTTCAGAACTTATTTCTCTTAGGGGTTCTATGGGACAGCTTTTCCCGAGGTGTGTCAGACCTGGCTTCTTGACCAAGCTATGAATTCTTGAAAGCAGCTAATTTAATTTTGTGCCTTAACACTTCACATATCATTTGGCACATGTTAGTGCTCAATAAATGTTCAATAGGTTCTCTAATTAATAGTCTTACAGTATTAAATATATTATCTTATGGCCTACATTTTCTCACAAGGCTACTAAGAGAGATGTCAGATTATTGGGTTTTTTTTCTTTTTTTGGTACTGAGGCTTGAACTCAGGGCCTTCACCTTGAGGCACTCCACAAGAGTTTTTCAAGATAGGGTCTTGTGAACTGTTTGCCTGGGCTGACTTCGAACTATTTTCCTCCTGATCTCTGCTTCCTGAGTAGATAGTATTACAGGCATGAGCCACTGGCATCCTGCCAATTGTTGTTTAAATCAAGATCTTATGTCCATTGAATTTCCCATTGTACCACCAGAACCTATTAACAAAAAAAATGTATTTGGTTTGGAATTACTTTTCAGTTCTCCTTTTCCTTCTGTAATGCCTTCTGCCTCTTCTTTGGCAGAGATGCTTATTTATTTCCTGTCTCTGGAATGTATTCACTTTTTTTTTTTTTTCAGTGCTGGGGTTTGAACTCAGGGCCTCACACTTGCTAGGCAGATTCTCTCCCACTTGAGCCACTCTGCCAACCCTATTCACTCACATTTGAAAGTCAGGCATTGCTTTTTGCCTTTTAACTCTCCCATCCACTGAAGTACATAAAAGATGACTTCACTTACACTTCCGTGTATTTTACTACTATGACACGTCAGCAGTCTGGGTTGGGTAAAATTAGCCTCATTATCACCACTAACAAGATAACAGTACTTTACATTTGTAAAGTGCCTTACCATTTTTAAAGTGTTTTCCCATACCTTAACTCATATGAGTTCCTACCAGAAGCTCTGTTAATAGGTAGGGATTATTGCCATATTTTACAGGTGGATAGGGGAAGAGTCAAGAATTGAACCTCACTTAGCTGCTTACTGTTTGCCATCCATGTTCTTGCTGGATTATGATCATTCTCACTGGAGGAAAAATAGAAGAGTTGAATAGTTCGGCTTGCTCTTTGTGTTTCCTGCCCTTATCATTCTCCAGGTTTTTTTCCTCTAACTTGTAAACATTTTATTCTGAGCATGGCATGTGGCCATAGATTTTCTGCTGGCCAGCTGAATCTGTGACAGTGCTGCAGCACATGGGTTGTCAGGTGCTGCACTAGGTATTTCCCACATCACCAGATCATCAGCATCGACTTTTACAAGGAAAGGAGGCTCAATGACCACCCCAGTCATGACAGGCCATCATTATCACCTTCTGTCAAAAAAAAAAAAAAATTTAAGGATTCCGAGTGGAAACATCTCCTTAAAGTTATTTTGCACAAAAAAAAAAAAAAAGTTATTTTGCACAGAACTTAAAAACCCTGTATCTGTTTTGCTACATGATGGTTTTTCATTTTATTTTCATATTTAGACCCAGAGTGGTAGAAAATAGGAAGGCACGGGGATATTGGGTTCATCTCCTCCTTCTCTTGTACTTTTTTCGCATTTGGTTTAGGTGTTGTTAAAATGCAAGGATGTTACCTAGTAGGGTAGTGCACATACATCACTTTTATCTACATTTCACACCTCAGCAAGAACTAGTTTCTCAGATGGGTCCTTACAGAGAACAGAGCTCCGAGGAAATGGGACCCAGGACAGGTAAGAGTTTAGGGGCCAAGGGAAGGGCTGCAGCATGGGGTGTGGCACCCACAGGGAGGTCTGGGAGGGCTCTGGCGCCTTGGAGAATAATGGTCTTTGGGTCTGGTGTCCAGCAGGAAAGACAGTCACCACACACTCCACTTAGCCTCAGTTTCATCTTCAGTTAAGTCCTGGTTGGTGCAGGAGGTAGTGTCTGACCACAGACCTTAGTTTCAAGGGTTGGCAACACACAGGTTGCCTCTCAGCCCTCTTCTGGGGAGTAATGCCTTCCAAAGATAACTTTTAAGTTGAAGTTCAATAACTCAAAACTCAAACTGCCGAATGTTAGAGGTGGAAGGAAATAATTTCTACCATCACTATGCAGGTAATAAAAAATCCCTCTTTTCATTTCTCCACTTTGCAGAAAATTGCAACATGACTTCCCCAGGGCCCTGATTTTCAGCACGGATGATTTTTTCTTCAGGGAAGATGGTGCCTATGAGTTCAACCCTGACTTCTTGGAGGAAGCTCATGAATGGAACCAAAAAAGAGGTGATGAATTCCTTTCCAAACTCCCGGGAAACCCTGTTGTGCACATAGATGGTAGCTGCTTTCAGAATGAATAAGTTTTATGGAAGGAGCTTCATCAAAAGTGCTGCCATTTTCTTCCCCAAGCAGAAAGCTAGAGCATAACCTCTTTAGATTCTAGGAAAAAGAAAATTACTGATAATGGGTTCTGAAATATATGGCATTGAATTGTGTAATGAGGACATCCTGTAACAAAAATGACAAAAATATGGGTAAGACTCACCCTCCTCTGGTTGTTGCATGTTGATGTTCACTGTTATATAACATTGTGTTGCAGCAAGAAAAGCAATGAGGAATGGCATATCCCCCATTATTATTGATAATACCAACCTGCACGCCTGGGAAATGAAGCCCTATGCAGTCATGGTAGGAAGAAGTATCATTCTGAATTTTCAGTTATGGACATTTTGTGAGAAAGTTGCAATATTTGTTCTTTCCTTTTTCTGATCTTCCGTGCTTTCGTTATTTTCTAACCTTAGTTCTTGCAGGGAGCAGGTAAAGAAGTTTTAGAGTCTGTCTGCTGTTCAGTGAAATTTGTTGAAATGCTAATCTCACTGCAGGGTAAAATTTCAAAATTTTTCTTGGAAAATAATCCTTGGTCTGAATTCTTGATAGTTTTTCACTCTTGTTCATTTTCCATACCGAGGAGCACCCTCTGAAACTTGGACTAGATGACACACTACTAGCAGGGCAACTGGTTACATAAGACTGACCTGCCCTTGACAGGCCAGGGTTTCAGTATTGTGTACTATTGCTGCCTGGGAGTTCCAGGGCAACAGAATTTTTTAGTCTTTAAAAACAAAACTAGGATTAACATTGTAACCCTACCAAGCAGTAGAATACAAATATAAATATATACGTCTCAGCTATCCATCTGATCTCTTTTCAGACATGCTTTTGTCTCTTATGCTAATAAATTTTCATTTCTCTACTGGGTATAAAAAGGGGAAAAGATCCACAGACATAAAGGGTGGGGCAGGAAGGAAACAGCTGAGTATTCTACTTGTGTCACACATAACCCTCACTTGCAATTGTGAAGTGTCTTTTACACTGGGCTCAAGACCTTCTGTTTTTAGGCTTCTTTTTACATTTTGGCCCATACAGCATACCTAATAGGTATGCTTTTCCCTGATGATACTTTTGTCAGCTCTACTTAGGGACCAAACTGGAAGTTGGATAAATATAAGAAGGAGCATCATCGCTGGGCACTGGTGGCTCACGCCTGTAATCCTAGCTACAGGGAGGCTGAGATTGGGAGAATAGCAGTTTGAGGCAAGCTGGGCAAATAATTCATGAGACCCCATCTCCACAATAACCAGAGCAAAATGGACTGGAGGCGTGGCTCAAGAGGTGGAGTGCCTGCTCAGCAAGTGCAAAGTCCTGAGTTCAAAACCCAGTCCCACCAAAAAAAAAAAAAAGCACTAGCTTTTGTGAGTATTTCAGTTCATGATTGAGAAGCCACTTGGGTGAGAAATGAACAGGGCCATGAAGAGTTGAACAAATACAGGCAGAACTCAAAACCAAGTTAGGGATTAACCAAGAGTGGCTTCCAGGAAGTCATTTTACTCATTTTCTGGATATATGCAATTTTGTATGGCCACCCACAATTATTAATTAGACTCAAATATTAGATATTTTCAAGGTATGATAGTTGAATCCTTAGAGGTGTCCATCCAAAGTGTGGACAGGGAATCTTTTTAAAAAATTAAGTGTATGCCTTAATTGACGAATAATAACTATATGTATTTATGGAGTACAGCGAGATGTTTTGGCACATGTATTCAGTGTGCAGTGATCACTCAGGATATTCAGGTTACATTTATCATTACTTTGTGATATAAACATTCAAAATCCTGTCTACCACATGTTTTGATTTATGTGACACATACTAATTATCATCACACTTCTGTGTAATAGTACAGAATTTATTCATCCCTCTCTCTGCTTATGAGGAAATCTTTGTACTTAACTCTTTTCATTCTGTGATTTATAATAGAATAAACAATATTGTCAACAGAAAGTTCAGTTTGAGATAAATAAATAATTTACGAATACAAATAATATTTGAATCTTTATGTGGGAACTGTACTATAATGGTTTTCTGTACTCAAGGAAATGAGGCACAGTGCCTCAGGCCAAATTACTGCATAGCAGCAGAGGGAGCTACTTGTGGAGGGAAGAGTACATAAAACCTGTGGAAATTACTTTTACTCTAAAGGCTGTTTCTGTGGTACTCTTCTAAATCAAGGCAGAAGAACAGTACAAGGCATTTGACAGAAGAAAATCTGGCTCTGAAAATTCACCTTGTTCATTGTTTACACCTGTGTCTGGGACTTTGCAAGCTAGTTCAGTGGATTTTTTTTTTTTTTGAAAGTACTGGGGTTTGAACTCAGGGCCTTTTGCTTGCTAGGCAGGCACTCTGCCACTTGAGCCTTGCCTGCAACGTACAGTGATCTCTTTTTAAAGATGGTCAATTTGTATATACTAAATAAAACTGATGAAAATGTACCGTTGGGAACCATAATATAATCTAAGAGTAGCTAAGTATAGGAATGAGCCAATTGCATAGATAAATTAAGGCACTGGACTATTGATAAAACTAAAGGAATTTTAGAAAAGATTTGTAGCAAATGTTAAATGGCAGCATAAACAGTCCCAAACATACATACTATGTTCAATGTTTTATGTACTTTTGAAAAATCAGGCACTTGAAAATAACTATGAAGTTATATTCCGAGAACCTGACACTCGCTGGAAATTCAACGTTCAAGAGTTAGCAAGGTACTTCTTTGTTTTTCTAGTTCCTCATTATGTATCCTGCTATTTTCAGGTATTTCAGACCGAGCAAAAGAATCTTTTCAGGCTGGAAATGGACTGGTAGTTTTCAGGCCAGAAATGGTAATTCTTGGAAATTGATAACTTTGGAATTATTAATGTGAAGACTTTAGTTTTGGTTCAGTTTTCTAATATAATGCTAAATGCTAAATCCTGGCTTGGACTTGGTCCTTTCAAAGGACACATTTAACATTCCATTAAATTGCTTCTTCATTAATGAACATTTGAAAGCTCTTTCCTCTGCATGGAACTGCACATATCAATGGTGTTTTTGCCTTTGGATCTTTAGCTGTTGAACAGTATGTTGTTCATTTACAGTTTAGATGCTGCTTCTAACTTATAAAGCAATAAATGTCCAAATAATACTAACCTGATTTTGAGTGCATGAGTTCTGACATTCACGCTGTATAATGTCAATATCAATGACTTAAAGCAACCAGTGAGATCAGATTTTGCTTTTTTTAGGATTGAGTCTAGTTCATCTTATGGTTGCGAGCAGATAGTGTTTCCATAGTGAGTCTGTTGATCACCTCCATTGGGATTGCTCTACAATTGTAATCTTTGGTAATTACATTTCTAACTATATCCCCAGTTGATACTTGTGCCTGCTAGAATTTAAGATTATTTTAATAGCAGCACTTAGCAGTATCGGGGACTGATTGACCTAAACCAATGAAAAATCTATTAATATCATTAACAAGCTAATATATGATTTTAAAAGAATGTCCTGTCCTGGTGTTCTTTCATGTCTTGAAGCACATCATTGAGATCACCAGAAACAAAGCATTTCTGAAGCTAGCCTTAGGCTAGATTTAGGGATGTGCAGGGCAGCATGAAGGACAGTAGAGCCTGCAGGGTAACTGAATAGCAAGTTGTGTCCTGAGGGTAGAGAGCATTATCCGTGCAAAACAGGACTTGTAAAAAATGCAAGCAACTCATTTTGATAGCCTGCCTTAACTAAATGTTTGCATTTCTTTTCCATATAGAAGAAACATTCATGGAGTCCCAAGAGAAAAAATACACCGAATGAAAGAACGGTATGAACATGATGTTACCTTTCACAGTGTACTTCATGCAGAAAAGCCAAGCAGAATGAACAGAAACCAGGACAGGAATAATGCATCACCCTCCAATGGTATGGGATACTGGAATACCTACGCAGAGTTTCCAAACCGGAGGGCTCATGGCGGCTTTGCAAATGAGAGCTCCTTTAACAGAAGGGGTGGTTGTCACCATGGCTATTAGAAGCCTATCGTACAACCATTCAGAATTTTCCTAAATAAGTTTTTACTTCCATTTTTGGTATTTATTTTTTGTTCAGTTTCAGTCAGAGCTCTAATTCCAGTGTAAATAGTTGAACCCAAAGTTTCTGAGCAGAGGTCGTCATATTATCTTCAACAAGCATTGTTAAAGTGCGCCCATATGCATGGTGTGCTGGGGACTCTGCAGATTGCATTAAAGTGTCTTCTCTGTTGGGAGAGAATTAATTTGGAACTGAAATCCAAGAACATAATCAGTTAGCCACATAGGCTCGTAAATGAAACAGCGTTCTTATACATAAGCTGTAGTAACACTGCCTCTGAAGTAATCCATTAAGTTTTTCAGGAAATTCATCTTCACCAGGGAAGCTGGAGAGATTGGAGAGTCAGGAAATGTTGTAATCTATCCAAAACTGTGAGTTGTGTGACTAATGATACTGATTTTCCTTTAAAACTAATACATCCGGGAATAATGTCCTTCAAAGTGGACACTTTTAAGAAGTTATTCCTTTATTTTAATGATGTATAATTGTTAAAAACGTCAAATCCTTAATAACTACACAAGCTGCTAAGGAAAATCAGTGTCATTATTTAAATTCACACTTTATGTTTAACTAAAAGGATCAAACTTAACTTTTGGTCATCATTTAATAGTGTAAATAATATAAACCTGCCTCCGTAAGAACACCAGTTTTTAAGGGAAATAATTAAATGATTCCTAAAGTTATGCCTATAAACATATTTAATTAGTTGGCAAACCAAATGTTTTGGAGTGCAAGGAATTAAGCAGTCCAGGATACAGATCATCGTTGGCATGTAGCACCATGTCACTGAGGGGCGCGCAGTGCTGATGTTTTATGTGGCATTGGATAGCAAAGCTCTGTCACCATTCTGACATGTCCCTCATATTAATACTGAATTTACAAATCCAAATTAAATTCCAGTAGGTTCAGATTGGGTTAATTTGCTTTAAGACAATGGTAAGCAAGACCATGTAGATTGTATGCTCTGTTCTTGGCCAACAGCTTCTTTCTAATGTTCGTGAAATATTATTTTAAGTGTCTTATATAATGGTGCTTTTATGGTTATTAAAATTGTATATGGTGTTGCATTTAATGGGTTTGTCATTGAATTTTTTTTGGCTCAACAATAAAAATAGATTTGAAGGAATTCAATCAAAATTATAACCATGTTTTCTATGTCATAAGCTTATTAGTCATTATTAATAAATAGAGGTATTTAAAGACAAAAGCAACCTTATATTTTATTGCTTCTATAAACCTGTGCACATTAGAAATGTTATCTTTCCTGAACATTTCACTGTCTAACACTGTTGAAATCTACTCAAGCAGGGCATGGTGGCTCATGCCTATAATCTCAGTATCTTCGGAGGTGAGAAGGGTCACAGTTCAGGGTCAGACAAGGCAAAAAATTAGAGAGATCCTGTCTCAACAAATAATCTGGGCATGTGCCTGTCATAGCAGCTACGTGGGAGGTGTAGGTAGGAGGACAGTCATCTGAGACTGCTCCCAAGCAAAAACCCAGACCCTATCTGAAAAATAATAGCAAGAACAACAACAACAAAAAGGCTGGTGGGCATGAAGTGCTTGCCTAGTAAGTGTATGGCCCTGAGTTCAAACTCTAGTACTGCCCCCCCAATTTATTTAACATCTTAGTGACTAACTATGAGCAATACATATGTAATTTTTTCTTAGGATTCTTAAAAATTGGCATCTCCTTTGAACAGCAAAGCTTGGCTGACAAAAATTAGTAAATTTGAATCAATCTAACAATAAAACAATTATTGTTTTACTAATTTCCACATGTTTAAGGGTAACAGAATGATCCTGTAACAATAATCCACTTACTACTACTTTCTGGCGCAGGCAATCCTGGGTGTCTTAGTCAACATGCCTACTGCAGAACCACCTCAGTATGGATGGCTTGACTCCTTTAGGTTAGGGAGGGGAGAACTGTCATAGTCCAAACTGTAAATTACCTTCCTTTTGAAAGAAAAATGATCTTTTCTGTCAAGGTATTTGTTATCCTCTTAGATTACTTAAAAATTCCTCAAGTCACCATCTTAAGTGACTTGCATGTTTAAAGGGTCCTTGCTTCTTCTTCTGGATTCCTGTACAACTCCATTGCCCACCAAACTGCGTGCCCTAACCCATCCCCCAAGCCCTTCAGCCAATCAGGAAAGACTATGAACCTTTGACCTGGACAAATCCCAAGTGAGGGGCAGGTATGACTGCATCAGGGATATAAGGAGGAGCCACTGTCAGCCATTTTGTGCTTGCATGACGCTTAACAGGAGTGAGCACATGCTTGCACCCTCTTGATCAAGAGAAAATTGCCTTGTCAAGATATTCTGTCTCTTGTGTGTCTGTTTTTGGCACTGGAGGGTTATCAATTCCAACAATTTGGAGGATCGTCCAGGATTTTACATTCTGTCCAGGAAGGGGGTCCTGGCCCTTCCCCAGGGAGATGCGTCTGCTGCCTGATTGTGGCGGCCCTCCAGGTACAGCTGAGGACAACAACTTTCCAGATCTGTGAATGAACTCAGACTGCAGAATTTCTTGACCATGCAGGTAAAAGAGCTCTGAAGACAGGAACTTTGGCGTCCATGTAAATTTTGTGCACAAACCAAGACAAGAAATGTCATGGGGGTGACCAAGTAATGTCTTGGTGGTCAGGATACTGGAGGCTGTGTGATGTGTGAATGAGACATGTCAGGTGACATGCAGGGAAAGCGAAGTCTTGATACGCAGTTCTGAGGCAACCTTATGTTTAAGGCAGAATTAGATTCTTGAATCTAATCCAGGTCAGCATCTTGTACAGACCCGCAGGCTACCAAGAGGTGCCTGAGGCTCCCATGAAAGACATGGGTGGAGACAGACAAAGGGAAAAAGAATCAGAGTGCAAGAAAGGCAAAGGGGGGGGTTGAGCTCCTGATAGAGCACAGTTGACCAGAAGGGAGAAATGGGAAATAAAGGCAGCAAAGAGAGGGGCCAGAAAACAAAGGCCCAGGATAAAATACCCTCTGGGAGCCACCCAGGAAAGATGTTAAAATATTGGAATGATAGCTCCCATACTAAAGGAAAAAGAAACAATGAATTGTTAAGTACTGTTGTTTTATCTGGACCAAAGAACTGATCTTAAAGCCTTTGTTTTTTTGTTTTTTTTTTTTGGCCAAAGTTTGGGTCTGACAAGGACTGAGTCTGTCAGCTATTAAATGAGCATGTTAATGATAAAGGCTCAGTCACTCAAGAGGAGATGGAATATGCCCTCCATTGGAGACAGAGTCCTGTAGTCCTGTTTCCACTAAAAAAACAAAAACAAAAAACCCAAAACCCCTTTCTAACTGGGATTTACTCTCCTCCCTTCCCTCTCCCTTTTGCCTGTCCTTCCTCTGGTTCAAGCACCAGAGCCAGCCCCAGCCCTGCCCTCTAGGCTTCCATCCCTCCACCTCCACCCTCTTTCAACTCCCAGCCCCTCAGTCTTCTGCTTAAACATACAAAAACTAGAAAATTGGAAAAATAGATCTATAGAGGAATTATTAGGAGAGGCACGAAAGATATACATAAGGTGAGAGGAAGAAGAAAAAAACAAAAAGCAAAGATTATGTTATCCACGATCCAGCAGGTTAATAGGGAAAGGCCAAACTGAAGGATGGACTGCATGAGGTTCCAAAAGGTGATAAGTGGTCAAGGAGACACCTCTCCTTCCCAGGAAACCTCTGTCTGCACCTGAGAGACATCTCTGCCCTCAAGCAATACTCAAAAAGGCTATAAAACCCAATCCCCAACCTGACCCACAGAATCACCAGTTCCAAGTCCCCTGCACTCCCCACCATGCAGTCTTTTCTCTTCTCTTCGCTTCTCCTCTCCTCTCTCCTCTCCTCTCCTCTCCTCTTCTCTTCTCTACAAATAAAATCTTTCTGACCTCTACTGCTGGAGTCCACCTGTGCTTTCATTCTCAGAGCAGGCTCAAGAACCCTGAGCACTTGAAATTCCTGTACGTGTCATCTGTGCATAATATTTGGTGACCACAAAGGGACATTTCTTCTGAACCATGATTGGTACAGGTTGTGCCAAACAGGGAAAGTCTGCTTAGGAACATGACCATGACAGTCTGGCACTCTGATGGAGTCTGTTCTCCAGGAAAGCCCCCCACCATGGCCTAGCTACAATGGACCTCTCAGGCCAGACGTTCTCTCTCTCTCTCTCTCTCTCTCTCTCTCTTGTTAAGGAGAGTTTCTCCCTTGGGAACCTGAGGAAAAGCTCCGAGCCCATTACAGCTGTAAGGCAGGCAACCCAAGAGAACTCAGGGGCCAGCCAGGGGCTTATACCAGACTGCCAAGCCTATGTGGGTGGAGCCAGACTTCAGTGCACAGAGGCTTTTTTTCTCCTCTCAACTCTTGGCTCCCTCTCTCCTTAAACTCTCTTTCAAGATCTGACCCGCTTAGGAGGAGGTCTGAAAATAGCCAGTGGAAAGGAAAGTTTCCTTCAAGCTATAAAGGCCCTCTGACTGTGGCACTCTCCAGTGTCATCCAAAGGCTGGAGATGCAACTTCCTGACCTGCCCTGAGGCTCCAAAGATAGCTAAGTCTCGGACCCCTGCAGCCATGTCCATGGCAAACAATCAGATCTCTTATGCTTCCTTCATGGTTTCCGTGGCCCAAGAGTGGAGGTCACTCCTTGCTTCCAGTGCTCCAGTACTGCCCTTGGGCAGGATCGACCTGGACAGTAGTGGTGACCAATAATCCCTCATGTGTTGATACTGAGAAACTCTATTTTCCCCCAATCCTCAGCCTCTCCTTCCCCTTCCCAGGTAGTTCTGCATGAGTGTCCCCTCCCCTCTTTGCTCTAAACAGCAGTGGGCTTCCTTCTTCAGGGAGTTTGGGAAAAATCCCTGCAGGCACCAGAAAGTGCAAGTCTCTAACTAAGGCTTAACTGTCTTTGTCAAGCACCAGGTTAAACAGGTTCCGCAGCCTGCCCTTAGGAAAAGAAAAAAACAGCTAAAAGGCAGAGACCACACAGTCTTCTCCATTTTTGCCCCTTACCACAGCAAAAACCTTCAGATACTCTCTCTCTTTTCATAAAAAAGCATGTATGCCTCACAGGATATATATAGGGGAACAGAAGTCTACTTCATCAGGAGTCCCCATCCATGCCTCTGCAGGGTCCTCCCTCTGGTCATGCAGGCCCTCCTGGTTACTTTGATAGAGTTATTTTTAAATTACACGCCCTCAGCTGGTAGAGGAGAACCAGGTACCTGGGTCACAGGGCAAACAGGCATGTCAAAATAGGTAAGAGATTGGTTAGAGGTCATTTTGGTGGGGTAGCGGCACCCAGAATACCTAAAAATCTTCCATGACCTTAGCCACAGGTGGCAGTGGCAGGAGAGCAAGGGAGAGAGGGATGCTCTCTCCCACTAGAGTTTCTCCTCATCTGGGGACACCTAGGTAAAAGGAGAAACCTCTGTTAAGGTGACCAATTTTCCCTTGTTTCCCTTTTTAAATGAGGAATCAAGCCTCAAGGATCCAGGAAGGATCCCCCCTTGCCTACTTATTAAAACATTGGAAAGATCTTGATCCAGGAAGTCTTCAGGAAAAGTGACTCAAGTTTTACTGCACCCAGGTTTGGCCACGGTATCTTCTGGGAGATGAGGAAAGATGGCCAGAAGGAGGGAGCATTAATTATAATACCATTCTTCAATTAGATATGTTCTGTAAAAAGGAGGGAAAGTGGACTGAAGTTCCATATGTTCAACTGTTCTTTTTCCTAAGAGACCACCCAGAATGGCTGAGCAAATGCAGGCTAGATACGCAGACCATGGTGACCCTTTGCAAAAAGCCCCCAAAATCCCTCGAACCAAAGAATCCATCTGATACTCCATCAGCTCCCCAGCTCCCCCCCTTACCCAGCTGCCTCACAAACTAGACACTGTCCCACAGGACTCTACCCCTCCAGTTAATTCCTGGAGAGGGGATAGGGTTCACGTTCCTTTTAGAGTGAGTGAACTTAAAGAGATTAAAAAGGATTTAGGAAATTACACAGAAAACCCAGATCAGTACATCCAGGCATTTAGAGAAGTCAGCCAAAACTTTGAACTGAACTGGAAAGATGTAATGCTATTGCTATTACAGACCCTTACTGCT